GTTGATAATAGTCAATTAGAATTCATCATTTATTCACGAACAACCTATTAGGAATAAAATCAAGTACATCTTTAGCTAGATTAGAGAGAATTATCATGTGCGATTTTTCTTCTAATAAATCTCATAGGATTAATCACGATTCATACAAGGATTACATATTATTGTTTCAAGAGTGTACACCTTATATTCAAAACACATTCAAAAAAGTTTTTAATATATTTTAAATATTTGATGGCAATACTAAGTAATCAAAGTGAAATTTTGTGTTTGCACCTTAAGTTTCAAGAGCCCAACTTTTTTACGGTATCTTAGCGATTAATTCACTCAAACAATGCGAATAATAGTACCATAAATTAATATTTTTATTAATGATGACATAATGTAGTTTACTTTTAACGAATCTTATTTATCAGCAGTGCTGCTCGATTTATATGGCCTGTATCGAATGACATCGTCTCGACAATGGTCAGATAGTTTCGATGTTACATCGTAAATGATATGTCATTGGTAGACGAAAAATGTATAACATATCTTTCTTTTATCTCTGATTTGCTAGTGAGAGGAACATACTTTGTTTTTTCATCAGACATTTAAAAATATGAATATTCGTTCGGCATATCTTCTTTGGTTGCTAATAACTATTCGTAGCTGAATGACTACCATCAACAGCAGCTTTTCATGCTGTTTGTAACAATGGATATACCTGAGTTGAAATTTGATTATTTTTCTTCGAAAATTATTATTTGGTTTGATGAAATTGAACAAATATCATCTGAGTTTAAACATGATTACAATAAGGACTTTCGAAATTTCTTTAATCAAAACGAAGCTAGCTAATCATCGTTTCTTCTATTTCGATTGTTATAAAAATATCTATAATTATACATATCCGAGAGAAGAACGAGATGGAATAATAATGTAGCGAAAAAACGATAAACTTTATAGTGAACTGAAGTTACACTTTCTGATTATCCATCAGAATCGTTTTAACGAAAACTCAAGTTAATAAATGTCTGTGTCCATTGACACAATGCTTATTGATATCTTCAACTTTTTCTTCTTCCCATTAGAAAATTAGAGCTCAATGTAGCTTAAAGTTTTAAGAACATTAGGTGTGACACTGGGTGTAGTTGATTGTTCCATTAACAGCTATACTTACCCTTACATATCTCTTTGATTAATGGTCAATATTTTTGTTTGTATACCAATGATTACTGTGTAAAACAAGGCAGCAATGTGAAACATTAAATTCGATTGCATATTAGTTAAAGTATGTAATATCTATATGTTGATGTACAAACTTTAATATAATTTCTTAATTTCTTGATTTTATTCTTATGTATCAAAATATTTACAAACATTTATTTCATATTTTTTTTATGCACACTAGGAATATATCATAAGTGAAATCGTTCTCATTTAACTTAATTCTTATTCAAAAATGAAAACATATTTCATTTATATTAATATGAATAGTTAGTCGATAAATGCAATGATTCGAATTTACAAAAAACATCACTGTGAATATGTTCCAAAATTGTTTATGGCGTGCAGAGATTTGTCAATTATCTTCATAAAGGTAACTTTATAAGAGTAGTTTATTATTGTTTAGAATTATTTCTGTTCGAATATCTTCAATTCTATTATCAAAAATATAAATTTATTGTGTCTTATTGATAATTCTTATTGGTATATACGTATGTGATCGAAATCATAATCAAAGAGACTGTTTTAGTTATGATGCGTCGCTGACATATTGTTCCTATTGAGCGACTGATTAATATAAGAAAAGTGATATATCGATTAAGGATTATTTGATCTATGTCTGTGTTAATTCAATATTTGGGAACTGACTTTTGTCTTATATTATCTCATAGCTCAAGATTGAAGAACAATACAAATGATTTATTTGATATTTGTCATTATGATTTTCTTCATTGATCTAGACTAACAATGCGTAAGACGAGTTCATTGGTCATTTTTTATTTTTTTTAATTTATTTAAAAAAACTGGTGAATATTTCGAACTAATTTTCAGTTCATCATCAACACAAATGACAAGTAAAAGATACAAAATTTTTCATTATATGGGTGTGGGCTGTGGGTGTGATTCAGATTCAAACTCATACCCACAGGAACACATACACATCCACACCCCATCCACAACACTAGCGTATGTCGAATAAATAGTCAGAAAAAAATGAGTAACTAAGTCGTTTCTCCGACATCAATTTATCTATCGACTTTCAAATTTAGTTAAGGAATTCTTTTTAATTCAGTTAGATTCATTCTAATTCATCTGCATTTACTTTTTTATTACATCACTACTTCTTTCTTTCGTAGTACTAAAATACATTCTACTGCACAGTGTACATAAAGTTCACATTCAGAACAAGGCTACTGAGACAGTGTATTTTTGAATTTCATACTTCACAATGTTAGCCTAAACGTTCTTAGTTTCAACTCATAAAAAATCTTCTTAACTTATAGTAGGAGCAGAGATATCTGTAGGTGTGGATCTGAATTCTCTCTTCACGTACTCACACCCATACCATGTTATTCGACTCATCATTCAAATCGAATTGCAATATATAAAAACCTAATATTTCTTCTAAATTTTTCAAGAACAATAGATCATTTAATCTTTCATTATCTTTATTACTTCAGTCAGTTGAACATGTGTCAACTTTTCACATTTTCTTGATCAATCTAGTCTTTGAGATAAATCATTGAGTAGTGCTGTTCCATTGATTGGTATGTGAGTGATAAATGTTAGTCAATATCATGCTCCATTGAAATATTTCTGAGTAGTTTTAACATATCTCATTTTATTTGTTCTGGTCGATGGTTTGCTCAATATACAATGAAAATATGAACATCAACGAGTACAGGGTGTGGGTGTCGGTGTGAGTGTGGTGTGCGGCCGCAGTTATAAGGGTCTTATCTTTCTTCACATCCACACATCCGCAAATGCTTATAGAAGAAATATAATCCATAGAATTGAATCAGAAAAAAATCTAAGCTTTATTTATAATACAAAACAATAATATTTGGACATATATCACATGCTATTTTAGATTGAATCCATTCTCGAATCGATTTTAAAACAATTTCTTTTTATCTTTCTTGTAATATGATTCATCTATTCATTTGATTGTTATTTATCTAAAAACAAGATGCTTTATTGTCTTGTTTCTCATATCAATTTAATCCCTTAACTGTTATTGTCGTATTTATACGTTAGAGTAGTCTTCAAAGAAAAAATAAAGACTACCCACACCCTTAAATATCGTTTCTTCGTATAATTTGTATCTGTACTTATCGAAGCTCATTCTACCGATTATGATATTTCATATCAATTGTGTTCCTTTGCGTCAATGGTACCATTATTGATGTTCAGTATAGATTTGTGTTCTGAGTACTATTATTGAACTGATTGGAATTCCAATTCCAGATAACAGCAACAGACACAAGCACGCGACAGTATGCATAAATATATATATTATATATTATTCTTTCAAATTTTATTCGCTTCTGAAAGATTCTAGAAGAATATTTGCCTATGTTCTACGGGAAGGCTAACAACTCAGATCGGCAAATTTCTGCTATCGGATTTCGTTGGAATCCTGCAAAATCCGACAGGATTTGCCTGGGCATGATGAACCTCAAAGGTTTTTGATTAAGTTTGCTGCATTTATTTATTGAAAAACGACTAATGTTTTCTACAAGTAAATAATAAAACGTATTTGTTCGTCGAAGTTTTGTGTTATTCTGAAATACCTTTTTGAATTGCTAAAAGTTATTTTACGAAAAATTCTTTTATGACTATTTTAAAAAATTTAGCAAAGGTTCATTCTAAAATTTTATTAAAAAATACATCTCATAAGAAAATAAGTTTAAAAATACTGCTTATTTAATTGTTGCATATTAATTTTCTTTTCTAACAAGGAGGATATTTGTTTTTTAAATATATCATTAAAGCTCTCGTATGAGTTATATTTGTATCATATAACGTATTAACATCGGAATGATTTAATGCTGTATTATCTCGTACATAATCTAATGTTGCTACATTATAAGAAAGACCTGTTTTTGATATATCTATTCCATTGAATAACCATGTTTTACCTCCATCTAATGTTTCAACTCTTGTATAAGCCATAAACATTCCATTTCCTTTTAATGACATACCAGTAGTAAGAACTTGAGCAATTATTTGACCAGGAACCGAAAGAGCTACGACTTGATTTACAAAAGGTAACGTTCGTATAATATCATATTCTGAAATTGTTTCACGAAGAATATCATCAATACGTACTGTGCCTCCATTAACAATGCCAATAGTTGTTCTATATGTTGCTGTTAATTCTAACATACTTTCACAAATCTCAGCTGTTAAAAGTGTTATATGATTTCTAACAGATGCAGATCTGCCATCTAATTCAATACCCGTAGGTAAACATGATACAATTGCATTTGGATTATAACCTAATGTTTGAAATCCTTGTATACCTAAATTAAACCAATAGTTTGCTATTGCTTCTGTATTTTCTTCGTTTGGTACTTCATATGTTATTTGTGCTAATGTACTATAAAGACGAAAACGTTTCATGTCTATATTATAAGCACAACGATGTATAAAAACAGTAAAAGCATTTGCATCTGCTTTATTAATTGGTATATAGTTTGTTCCTCTTAAATAATTAAAATTATCATGTTCATGTCCACCCATAATCAGATTAAGTTGAGGAATTTTGGATGCAAGGTCAATATCAGTTGCCATATCAAGATGAGTTATAGCAATAAATACATCATATGTATCATTTGGTAATAATTTTAAATATTCTTGAACATAATCAACTAATGATGATTGATTAATAATTCGAACATATTTACCAGTTCCATCAATAGTTAATCCAATAAGTAGTATTCGAACGGTATCAATAGTAAGTATTTTATGAGAAATACTTGATCCAAATAATTGATTATTATCTTGACGAAATACATTTGTACTAATCCAAGTAAATGTTGATTCGTTCATTCGAGTAAGTAAATCTTTTTCGTTTAAATCAAATTCATGATTTCCAAATATTGCATAATCAACTCCAAGAGTATTCATGACTGCAATCATTTGTTTTCCATTCAACGTTGTACCATTAATTATTGATAAACTTAGAGCTGATGGAGAAAGAAAATCACCGGCAAGAATTGTATATGTATTTGAATTTTCTTGTTTTAATAATTTTCGTATATAAGCAACACGTGCTAAACCACCTTTTCGTCCTCTATCAAGTGGTAATAATTCATAAACATCATTCATTTGTAAAAAACTCCATTGAATATATCTACCATCATTAGGTAACATAAAATGATGACCAATAATTCCATTTTCAATTGAATAAATATTTGAAGAAGCTTTTATATTACGCCATAAAATAGAATAAACAATAGTTAAAACAGTAAGACAAATAATTACGAAACTCAAAATAGTATAGATTAGACCATGTGGTAAAAATGATGTTTTCACTCGGTTTATATTTACGTTTGTCATAACTAAGTTTCAGTCTAATACAAAAAAAAATACAAAAATCAATTTGACAATAACCAAGATTATTGTCTTAATCTTCAGCTAAACACACATATTCTATTCTTGTTTGTCAAAATGCTTTACTTTTATGAATTATTTATTAACATACTTCATCGTTACTTTTTCTTGTCTAAACTAGGTAATACAATTCGTATTTTGTGTAAGACACAATTCAAGAAATCTTTGTTCAAATTATTAACTACTGTCTGTATACAAAATGGAGAAAACAGTTAGGCGAATGAAATACCAGAATATCGACATATTTTAGGTCAATGAATTTGAAATAATATTTGAAATAATCAAGGTTCATGATTGATTTTCGTCATATTAGACAAAGTATTAAATTTAGAGAATTTTTATAGCGTCAATGAATATTATCGTATTTGATTACCTACTTGTGTCTTATACAATCAACGAAAAGAAAAAAAATCGTCTACTTACCGAATACTACATGTAAAAACTGTCGAAAAACATCATAAATAACTCTAGAGAGATTGCTAAAGCATTTGTAAAGAATACTAATAAATAAAAGGAAAAGAATAAGATTTTATAGTCCTGAATAACCATGCAACAAATTCGAACTTGAGTTCGAAGTTTCGACTGAACGGTTTGGCTTCGAGTTAGGATTTCTATGTTAAAAGGAGAAGACATCAGTAATACATCATGAAGAGCAAGATGTTGCTTCCAAAATCTTTCTCAAGCACTCTACATGCAGGTAAAGGAAAGAAATAATAGAGACTGTTCTCCAAGATTCAGTTAATGTTGGTCATCTGCATATTATAGAGAATTAGACGTAAAACTTCGACTCAATTTCGTAGAATTTTGTACAAAAAGACCCATTGCATATGATATATAAATAATGGTGTGTTATACACAAAACATAATGAATGACAATATATCTCTCGGCAAGCTTTGTATAAAAAGAGCCTTTTCAGGTGACTTATGTAATGTACTATGTATTTATATCATTCATTAGAGAGGTTCTTTTCTTGCAATCAACATAACATACGATGTAAAAGTAATGGTTGTGGGTGAGTGTTTGGCCATCGATATGATCGTTAATGTTATAACCAAAACCCGCATCCATCGAATTTTAAGCGTCAATTTCTTTTTCTTTATTCAAAAGTTGATCATTTTAGAGGAAACCTGTTTTTTGATTCCTTGTTTCCTGTGGGATTTGGATCTGATGAGAAAGTTGTTGATATTTTGGAGCCTTTTCTTTAATGCGTAGAATCAATACTATTATTGGTATGACAGACGTTTCCTTCCTCCATAGCATGATAGAAGTTCAATCAAAGATAGATATAATTAGATTTAATGTTCTATTACTTGTCTACATATCAAATAACAACTAACATTGAAAACCTTGACTGACAATGCAATGGTCAGGTTTTCTACTTCAAAGGCTGTAGAATAAATGCAATCAAGATTATGAATTATAAACTTTATTTTATAGATCAGGATATTGAAAGAGTTCCACAGAAGATATATATATAAGTTTGCTTCTTTTCCTAATAGTTATATTTTGTAATGGGCATAATTGTATTGAATTAAAGACTAAGTTTTAGAGCAGCTTAAATATATTTAATTTATTAATCTATTTATTTATATATAATCATAATATTTTGTCTACGTTTCGATATATCAAATATCATTATCAAGACAGGTGGAATTAGATTTTAGTGAGGAAGAGAGAGGTATATAGGGTGTGGGTGTGGGTGTGGGTGGGTGTGGATGTGGATGTGGGTGTGGGTGAGGGTGGGTGTGAACATGGGTATTGTTCGTCTCTTAAAATGCTCACCCATACCCACACCCACACCCACACCCACACCCACTGTATTCATTGACCTCTATAAAATGGCCAATGTCAGATTCGAATCGAAGCATCACACTTGGGATCTTCCCTCATTAGAAAGGATATGACTAGTCATCTACGATAATTTTCAAAAAATTATTAATATAAGTGCGCGAAATTAGTTTCGCGTTTGTCCATTAAACTCAAGAGTTATACAGATTACCACTATAATAATTGACTCCGACGATTAGATATCTAGTGCAGCACATCTACTCGGCTAACCGAAGATATTATATTTCAAAGCTTTTGCTACTGTTCTTCGTACACTTTTCGATGATTTTGCTTGAACATCAACTTTACTTCCAATTGAATATGTTGATAATTGGTTACAAAAAATTTTACATACAACAACAATAATTAAACAAGATAAATCCTTTAGTATTCTAGCTAAACATGTCAATATAGCTGTTTGTATTCTATTAGAAACGTTTACACAATTTGATGAACAACTTGAAAAATATATATTTGATTTTGTTATTCAACAAACCATTCTTCATAGACAAGATTGGCCATATGAAGCTGATGCTAATTTACTTCGTTTAATTTTAAATATTATTGATTTAGCTGATCATTTTTGATGTGCAATATTAGCAAGTTTAATATTTGCAGCCAATTCTCGAATATGTCTTTAGCAATTTTTATATTCGAATTCTGTAAGATTAGAAAACAAAATTTTCTTTATGATTTTTCTTTCGATTATTTTCTTCTAACATATTCAAGATGTAAAACATATTTTTAATCGTCTTTTAAGAATTAAAAGTATTCCAGTTGTTCAACAAGTTTATCAAACTATTTTAGCTGAGATGACAATGAATTTTAATATACTTTTACAAGCACTTCAACAAAAATCAATTGTTATTGGTAGTGAAACATTATCATCTCTAACCACGAGTGATTTAAATAAAGATGTTGCAGAAACAGCATTGATTTTTGATTGTAGTGCATTGTGTCAAATCGGAAATGTGAAGAGAAATTTCATTGGAGTATGTTATTAAACAAGATTTGATAAGGAAATATAGTTTATTTTCTGTAGATGTATGCACTTTTATCACCATTATTTCAATTACTTGCTAAACATCTTCAATTAACAAATTCGAAATTAGCTCGACAATATTCAGCTGTTCATTATGGTATATGGAAAACACTTTATTCTCATTGTGCAGCGTTATTTATTTATTTAGGAAGGAAGTTTTGTTTTTTTTATTAAATAAGATTATTTTTATACATGAACATTTTATTCATAATTCAGATTTATTTAAACAAAATGATAGAAATAGTATGATGAGTTTAACAAGTTTAACCAAAGATAATTTTGAAGATTTACTTAAACTTCTTCATCGTCTTATTGTTAATAATCATTTAAGTTGTCATGATACAAAGTAAGAAATTTAATAAAATAGATAGTTTGTCATTTTTGTTTTATCTAGAAAGTTAGTTTTGAATTGACTTGCACAAATTATTGATGCATTACCACAAGAAGATAATGGATTACTTACATAACTTATTTTATTGAGATTATCTCATGCGATTATTGATATAAGTGAAAAGAAAAAATTAGTTTTGAAATAAAAGTCATTAAGAGGACATGAGTATGAATCGATTGTTCATTTACCGTGCTTGACTCTCACAAAAAATTCAGCGTATTAGATCGAAGTGCGATCAAGATATTCAAATTTTTCTTTGATCCAAAAGTAGTCCTCGTCGAGTGAATCTCTTTTCCGGATTTAACTTCTTAGATGCTACTGTAAAAAAAGAATGACCTGTTAAGAACTTCTTTCGTCACAGGAAAATGACATTCGGGATAAGAAGAAATTTTGTTCCGCAGAACTCTAATATTCAGTTTACGACTCAAATCCGAGTTCGGAACCAAAAACTTTGTACACAATGACTCTATTGAGTGCATAGATGAAGAGCATCTTGTGAAATACGATTTTAAAGGAATATTGAAGTATGAGAACAGATATTTAGACTTTCTCTCTCCGCTCCACGGATCATGTTGGACATATAAATGACATATGTACTCAAGAAACTGAAATCTATTACAGACACGACTGAGTTTAAACTAACATGTTATGATTAACAATTAACTAGCGGAGTATATACTAGTAACTTATCTCATTTACGATCTACACAGTTCTATCGTGTTTCACCATTTAATTTCATAGGGATTGCACTGACAGTTTTCTCAAATAATTTCGTTTTTAACCTGTATATTTTTATGAGTAGAACGTTTGTCTTGATACTATTCTGGTGAACTCACAGACTACAAAATTTTAGTTTATTGCAACAATCTCCTCGTGTGTCCTATTTTCATTCTAGAACTGTCGCATTCTGTTTCTCATTTGAACTAAAAACTTTTTGTTTTTTCTTTTCATTGGAGTAAGTAAATAATTCTTTAGCTTATTCGGATGAAGAAGAACTCTGTAATTTATGTTATCGTTTATTAAACAAAATTGTTAAAAGACAACATGATCTTTGATGTATCATTCTTAGTTAGGGAAGATTTTTCAATAAAATTCTTTTCACATATATCAAACAATCGATTGTAGTTTATTTTATTTATTTCGATTTTGGTTACAATCAAATCAAACATCGATTTATACTATTTTATATTGTTTACCTGTCAATATCTTAACAGTCAAAATTCAAATTAAGAAATTAATAAAAAGATTTTTTTTGTAATAAATTTTCAAGACATGGAACATTCTTATCATCAAAAAATGATTATTCTATTGTTAAACGAAATCATATGAATACTCCATATTTAGAAAGATTTACAAGAGATTGTTTTTATTTAATATACTTGTTAATCATAAAATGCTGTATGTCTTTCTTGATTGGATTCTTTTCATTTGAAAAATTATTTTTATTAGATAAATGTATGTAACTACATTGCTTGAATGTTTATTTCAATCTTGTCAACATAAAAGTAATAATGAAACTTCTAAAGAAGAACAATTATCTGAATCTTCACATCGATTATTAAGTTATGAACAATTACCAAATTTTGGAAATGATGCATTGCTTGGATTTATTTGAATAAGTTTAGATGGGAAATATTCCTTTTTTTCTTCTTGCAATTTAAGATTTGCTTTTAGGCTATATGGGAATGTGCAGAATTTTGTTTAATGAACAAATTGAAAACACCACTTAGAAAACCTTAAGAAACATTTTTAGCACTCGAAGGTAAAAAGTCATTCTTGAATTTAATGGATTAGTCTCATACAATTTTTTTATTACTGTTGGTTTAAAGACTTTACGATTTTTTGCTTGGCTAATTGTTAATAATACCAAGACAGCCGAGTCATCTTCGTCTGAACAAACAAATCGTTCATTCAACTCCTTCATCGACTACAAATCTTCCGGTTACATAATCATCATCGAGTGAAGTTAATCTTCCAACTGATAAAGGTGATTGATGATGTGATTTATATCGATATGATCGTCTATTACAATTAATTGAAGCACTTAAAAAATGTATGTATGAAGGTGCCACTCTTTCACTTCCACAATTGCCTAAAGTAAGATTAAGTTTTTGTTTTCAATTTTCTAATATGATCTTTTTTTTTTCAGACGGTAAAATTCTTTTTTATTACAAATAAATCTACATGTCTGGAATGGGTTAATCGTATTCGTATTCTAAGTATTTTAACAGCCGTACGTAGTGGTCAATATGAATCTGTTGTGTGAAATTGTAATCAATATCTAATGCATGTTTGTGCACTAGGTCAAGCAGGGGTAAATCTACAGATTATACCTAAGTAATGTCTACTTAAGAAATGCGCATATATTCATTACTTAACAAGTCTTAGCTAATTTTTTTCTCCCATACAGATTCATAAAGATTATCTTTAACTTCAATAGAAAAAAGCAAGCGTTCATAGTTTCTAGAAAAAAATCAGACAACGCTATTTTTCCTTATTATTTTGATTTCTTTTTAATAATCCTGTCGTTGTGTCATATTACGGCGTGGCCACGCGTTACGGAATTTCATTTTTTCACATTGGAACACCTATAGCTTATCAAAAATAAAAGCAAACTTTCTGAAATTTTTATCAGAGATGGATATTGCTGAGATCTATTACCGGTAAAAATTTCATCAATTTCTGTCTGTCCATCGCTGAGTTATTCAACCAATATTGACCGTTACGGAATTTCAAAAAATGGAAATATTTTTAGGGTGACCTGAAAGTTAAGCATTTTACTAAGTAACGAAGCGACATACAAATAAACGCTCTATATAAAAATTATTCAGTTTTCCATGAGCTTTCGAAATATCATTTCATTTCCTAGAAATCCTAACTATACCAAATAGAAAAATTGTAAATACTGTCTGTTACGGAATTTCATTTTGTTACGGAATTTCATTATTTTTTGAGTTTCTAATGGGGATAGTTCAAGACCGTAAAACTTTAAATTATCATGATGAACGCCCATCATTTTTCATATCCACGAGTAGTATAGAGATTGGTCTATCGCTTCAGTATGTCAGCTTTACCCTCATAAAGGAATGACATTAGAACGTCTGTCTGTCTTTCGGACAAAAATGAGATTTAATAGGACTGAAGATGGATTGTTTTTTGATGAAATCCGTCAAAAAATCTATTTTCACACACTTATCGCGGGAAAAATGCGATTTATATAGCTAATCAACAATGTATCTCAGAGCTTACAACGTGTTTCATAATCTGTCAGTAGTAAACTTTTGAATTTGGAAAGAGTTTTCTTTAATTTTAGTGGGTATAAACCTTCCCCATGCGAGGGTGACCGATGCGTGGCCACGGCGATTACTATAAAAATATGTCAGATCTGATGATGAAGAAGCCTACAAACTGATTGCATTCCATCATTCTTTCTGTGAAATTGGATGAAGTAGAACATACTAAGTTAATTATCCTGAGATCATCAAGAATAACTTACACTGATAGTTTGTTACAATATCAATGATGAGTAACGAAGTTTTATCCGGCCACATTTATTGACTATAGAAAAGTACGAGAACTTGTTTTATTCGAGGAAAATATCAACCGACTATTTTCTTCATCTTCAAGAATTGATATCAAGAGTTCTGACATTTCAACATGTGTATTATGCTTGAAAAATTTTTTGATCTCCTCTGTCAAATAATAAAATGTCTTATCATACGTATTTCTTCAGTAGACATAATTTTTGAAACATTCTATTATTCATTTTTCTTTTAAAGGTATCAGAATTTGAATTTGTAATAATATCATTTGTTCAATCACTTATTAAAATTCATAATAGTGTGGCAACTCATGAAATATATATATGGTTAAAAAATATTCATCAACTTGATTGGTCATGAATACATGCTTATGAACATTAAGCAGCAGGAAATCTCGAACAATCAGATTATGAATAGAAATTATTACTAAATGAACATTTTAAAAATCTTTCTTTAACTAATGATATCAATGAAGAGAAAATATCTACTGCACTCGTCAAATTTTTAACAGAAAAAGTAAAAAAAAAATCATGGAAGATAAAATAATATTTTTTTTTGTTTATTAGGTTTATGATTGTTATTTAAGTCTTCATCAATGGTCAGAATTGATAACATGAAATGATGCATGTATTCAAATGCAAATGGCTTTTTTACAAGATGATGAGGATGATTTACGTCCACCGATGGAAACAACAATTGATATGAATGCGATTAGGTAAGAAAGATGAAAGATGTTTTGATAGAAAATAAAATTGATGTCTTTTAGAGCAATGAGTTATTTTCAGAATCAAGATTTTGATGGTTTAAAAGTAGCGAGGAGAAAAATGACAGATTCACAAGCAACTGGAGAAGAACTTGATCGAAGTATTTCGTGTGGTTGGGATATGGAAACATTTGATATGTTAGCAACTGTTGAGACATTAAAAGAAGTATCAAAACGAAGTTAATCAAAGGAAAAATTATATAAATTCTAATCAATTTTTTCTTATAGATTCGGTTTTTGGTCACTAAATGCTATACTTCAATAAACACAAGTTTTAACTCGAATTCATAATGTTGAATCGCATGCTTCATGGTCAGGAGAAAGAGCAGCTATTAGTCAAGTAGCAACATTGTATCAAAGTGAAGTAAGAATAAAATTGAAATGAATTTTTATTATTATGATGGATTTTTTTTTTAGAATCGTGAAGTTCCATTTTTACCGGGTCACAAATTTGTACTTGTGCAACACAGTGTAGGAGCATTGACTTCGGTTCTTCTTTACATTCAACCAAATTTTAATAATCAAAGTAAATATATCGTTGATTATAACTTTCAATAATTGACCGAAATAAGAACGAAAAGGAAATCTTTTTGTGTCGAAGGTGGTGTAAAATTTTCTATTGACTAGGAGATAAACGAGAATTTTCATGCTTCAAATCGATTCGTATGTCGAACTCAAAAACTGACAATTCAGTTTGCAATCATAGACGGCAAAATTGGTTTCAAGATTTGGCAGACCTAAACTGTCCACAAAATCGAGCATGTTATTACTATCTATGAGACGTGACGCAGAGCTAACTAACAATTTGTACAGACAAATTAGCCAATCGACAACTTTCTCGTCATCATGACATAAGTACATGATCTACAAAATTTCAGAAGATTTCACGAAATCTCCAAGGACTTTAAGACTTCAAAGATGCACTCTGACTGTTCCCTCCTCGTTTGAAGTATAGTGATAAAAGTTGACACCACTGTCAGAATATGACCAACATTATCCAAGGAAGCCTCAAAAACCGTGCCAGACATCTTACCAATAATCTATCACAAATCGTGGTCGACACACTAATAATGACCGTCACTTTCCTCCTAGACTGTGATCATAGAGCTAGCGGGTCCAGTTTTTTTATACGATATTGCATTTTTTCTATATGAACAGTATAAAAAATAGCTGGTATATTTATCGACCTAGAGTTAATTCTCTTGTCGAAATCTCAGCCGAATGTGAAATCCGATTTGATCACTATTGATCTGATTTTGTTTTTGCATGGATCTACGTTTGAAAAGAGTTTTGCTAATCCAGATGAACATTGAATTCGTTGCCTGAATGACAAGTTCTCAACTGATGACTCCAATAGAATTGCCAAACAACATTTGAGATTCTTCTGTCTATTTACAGGTACATCATCAGCTATTGATTCTAATTGGACAGTTATTCGAATAGGTGCAGCTCGATTAGTTCGTCAACAAAATAACTTTATATTAGCTTTAAAATGACTCATCCAACAATTTCAATCAACTCATAAATGGTCAACTGGTTCATCAACTCTACAAGTTAATAATACATCCTTAGCTTCTCCATTACATTCATTTTATTCTAATACATTTTCTATTAAAACTTATTCATTTGCTTCACTTATAACAATGATTGAACGTTATCAAAATATTCATATGGTTTTCATTGAACTTGAAACTGAAAGAGCTAAATTAATGTATGTCTTTATCATTAAATAAAGCTAATAATGTCAATATAACAATTGCTATTGAATTTCTTTTACCTTCTATTCTACAATATTTAATTAATGAAAGTCAAGCTGATTCTTTATATAATATTCAATGTTCAATAATTAATATTGAAAAGTGTTCACGAAATTGATTAAATATTGCTAAATGGTCACGTAGAATACTTATCAAATAACAACAACAAATGTTATATCATTAGGAGAATTATTTCAATTAAGAAAACAATATCTTCTTACTGGATTAGCTGTTGATATTGATGGAAGTCTTGTTATTTTCTTTCTCTATCATTTAAAATATAGATTTTTTTTCTTCTTTTAGAACCTTTTCTTCGAAAAAATGTATCTCTTGATGAATTATTAATTGGAAAATTATTAGATTTTTCTACATTAACTTGTCCAAATTTAACTAAAACATGGTTTAGATTTGTTGAATGGACTTATATTTGAGGAAGACAATTACTTGCTCGATCTATACCGTACGTAATCAATGTATTGAAATATATCTTTCGAAATTTTCTATTTCGTATTAGATTATTTTCATTGGATTTTGGACAACAAGTTGGGGCAATTATTCCTCCGGTTTGTTCTTAATTTTTCATATCTAAAAAAGAGATAGAAATATCCTACAGAATTTCCGTGTTCATACTAAGTGAATCCCTTGAACTCATACCAATACATCGTGTTCAGAATTTCGAATAACCAAAACGGATTGAAATAAAATGAAAATTCCCTTCTCAAATCTTAGTCTTCTCAATGTCAAGAGAGTAAGTGCTGTGGTTAGGACTCGCTGATTAGTTTTTCTCAATATTGAAGAGAAATAAATGATTTAGAAATTCTCTTTACCTTATGTAATGCTCGACATTAGTCAATTTCTTGTATGTATCTCCTACTTCATATTTTAGGAAGTTTCATCAGATGAAATCAGTGAAATATCTCGGATTTTATCTTCGATTCGAATTTTGACCGATGATGATTCTGAACTTGTAAGTTCAACTATTCTTTAATAATTCTTCTTTCGAAAAGGTTTTTTTTTTATTTTAGACTGCTTCTGAATTCTCAGTCCTTCATTCTTATCGTTCAGACTTATCTTGTGCTTGCTCATTACTTACAAAACAACCGATATTAATCGAACAATTATTTGCTTTATATTCACAATTTGATCTTCGTCGTTATTTTCTTTTAGAATAATCTTGTCGTGCTTATTTTACATATTTACAATTAAGTAATACAAATACTTATGGAAATTTAAATGAAAAAAAAAATCTAATAATAATGATGATGTATCAAATGTTCTTCTTACATTATGTTTATTAGATGTACTTGTACGTTATTCTTAACAATTACGTTCAATATTTGAAATAAACTTTATTAATATGCCAACTATAGCATGGAAACGTCTGATACAACAATTATTTTCTCGTTTAAATCATCCGAATAGTTTTGTTCGAGATTATGTTACAAATTTATTAATACGTATAGCAAAAGATTATCCACAATTAATACTTTATTCAGTTATTGTTAGAATAACTGATGATTCAAAAATGAGACGAATAAAATCACGAGATGAAAATATTTATCAAAGAAAACGTTTGAGTACAAATGAATTAGATGATGAAAGATCACAAGATGATATTGAAGATGATGATGATGAAGATGATATTGAAAAACAAGAAAATGTTATAGCTATGAAAAATAGTTTTAGATTAATCAATAATGTACTTTCAGAAACAAATGCACATGTTGTTGGACAAGTTAAATTAGTTGTACATGAATTACGACGTGTTACTGTTCTATGGGATGAACTTTGGTTAAGAACAATGGCACAACTTCAAGAAGAAATTAGTTGGTTAGTTCGAAAAGAAACTATATAGGAGAGAAAAATTAGATTGTAACTAGAAAAAAAAATTGTAGGAAGCAAACAATCTCTGGTAATGTTTCTAGAGAAGACTCAAATCTATTTTCCTGGTGTCAAATCGCTTTTCGAACGAGACGATGTTCACTTGATGAGTGCTAGAGGTCAATGATGGTTTCGTTTTTCTGCCATTCATTCTCAATATATCAAAATTTTACTGATTTTTTTTCAACAAAAAGCTATGGCGATGTGGAATATCGACTTTCGACTTCAAAGGCAATTATAAGGTTTTGATCAAATAACAGAACATATGTATGTCCGTAAAGGAAGACTTCCTCTATTATATGATAGAGGCATTATCAAGCTCTATTGCGTAGTGTAAAGATTTCAATATATAGCGCCACTTATTGACATCTTTACACAACATAGTAGAACTCGATGAAGCCTATATGATATAATAGAGGAAGGCTTTCTTTACAAACTTTCATATATTCCGTTATTTGATCAAAACCTAATAATTGTTTTTGAAGTCGAAAGTCGATTTTTCACGTGACCACAGCTTTTTGTTGAAAAATTCAGTACTATTTCAATATCTCAAAGAACGAACCATTCTAGATTTTTCTATTACTCTCTAGTACTCATCAAATGATTATCGTTTCGACCGAAAAGCAATTTGACATCTAGACAGATTCCATTGTGAGTTTCTACCTGACTATATCGCTAAGGAAAATTACTCTGTAGATAATAATACCAAAAAAATTGAAAGAATAATTTTAATTATTTGAAAAATAAAAATATATTGTTGTGATATAAAAATTGTTCATGGATTAATTTATTGATTTCTTTTTTTTTATCGTTAATTGAATCAGTTTGACTCCGGATATGAGTATCAATATTTTATCAGTAGGGAGCTGTTGGCCCATATTTTGTGTAGATATGAATCCCGACCTAAGTTTTTCTTTAATAAGATTCAACATAAAAAATTATCAAATCAGTAGTAACACTTAAATCGCTAACTGTATGGCATTGTTTTAGTTGTATTTATGTAAATTATATCAAACTTAAAAAATGAGAAAGAATTCTGATTCGAGGTTCAATACAAACAAAACTCTAAAGTTAAATCAGGATATAGATATGGAAGAATTTCACTGTAAAATAGAAAATGTCTATATGAATTCACAAAATATACTCTAGAAGTGTCCATAAGAATTCAGCGATGAATTTCTACATGAAAATAAAATATTGATATTCGAGTTTCGATTGTATACAGAAAATCGACGAATCAATGATAAAAGTTTGAAAATACTTTAATTTATTTAAAGTCGATTTTCTACAAAGTAGAATTTAAAAGATATTTACAATATTGTTCCTCTCTGATTGTAAAAAGTTTTACTTATGTAATGAATAGTGTAATAATTGAAATTCTGTAGATTAGAAAAGAACTTATAATAGATTCATTTTTCTTTTATTTAGACGTGTCGATGTTCTTAAAGATGAACTTCAACGTCTTGAATCTATGACACGTTTAACAAAGGAAGAAAAAGAATTTCTAATTAAAGAAAAACAAGATGTTTTATTTAAATCTGTAAGTTTTTGTATATATATATAACCTTAAATAATTTCTTTTTTTTTTTTTAACCTTTTCTTTATTCAGTTTATAACCGTTCTTGAAGCAGTTAGTCAAATAACTCGTTCACCTGCTGAAACACCACGTGAACAAGCATTTGAAAAAGATTATAGTAAACAAATCGATGCAGCTATTGAACAATTAAAACAACCTATTACATTATCTAATCCACATTCATGTTGGTTACAACTTCGACAGGTAAAAAACAAAAAAAACAAAATCTTTCAATTAGATTTTTTTCTCATTTATTTCTTATTTTAAATTTAAATCATTTTAGCTTTATTCAATGTTACATCGTACTGGTAAACGATCAGGTACAATTCATGCTATGAATCAAATAAGTCCAAAATTAGCACAAATTAAACATAGTGTTATACCAATTCCAGGCGAAGATGGACAAGTTTGAAAAAAAAATTTTAAATTTATATATAAAAAACAACGATTTTTGCTTTTTTTTCTATATTAATAGTTTCATACAATCCATATATTTC